GTAGATTCCATGTAAGTATAGTTGCTGATCATGAGAGCTCATTATGAGAGCAGCAAATGTATACCCCCCCCCCCCAATGGAATAAAAAAAAGAACACATAAAAGAGCATATCAATGTACTTTTAGGGTTAGAAGAAAAGCCAGTGTCTACAAAAGTTTTGCACATCCATAATTACAAGAAAAAATATAGCCATACCTCAAGTTGCCTGAGACTACCCATAGACTGTGATGTTCCCCCAATAACAAGTGTGTGTGAAGACATCGCATCTCTTGTTCCTTGCAGCCGCAGCAAAAGCTTTTGGATAACCTTTCTAGCTTCTGCAGCTTTGTTCAATGCATCTTCAGTAGCAACAAACTGCTGAACATGTGCTTTCTGCAAAGGAAAAAAAACAATATGAACAAGTATACGAACAAGCTTACCCGCTGGCATATTTCAGAAAGATGGGCAACATTTCTAGCCTTATTTACTAACATTCTCCATTTTTTGTTCTTTGCTATATATTTTTCCATCTCTTTTATAACTTTCAATTTCATTCTCCTAACGGAAATCAGAGAAAAGAAATATATTTACTACAACCTGTTTTTCAAACTCTTTGTTCAGTTCAAAGAGAAAAAAAAAAGCTATTAGCCACTATAGAAGTAGTACACAACCTCCCTTTTAAGCCTAAAAATGTTCTATATCCTCTTTGGAAGATAGCAAGGAATGTTGATTAAAAGGTATACTGCCCATGAATCCCTTGATAACAATTAACATGCCATTTCTCTTGAATAACACTACCAGAGCAAAGCTATGTCATGGTGAAGAAACTAAACCAGTTCTAAATGCAGGGAAAACAGACCTGTCTCTCAAGTAGTTGGTTTTTTGTACCCCCTGAAGGGGTATCACCTCCTATCTTTCCATTTCCATAAAGCTGGTATTGTAATGGTGAATTTATATCAGGACTTGAAGCATCAATAACTCTGTTATTTTCATACTTGTATCTGATTCAAAAATGGAAGCAAGAATATTATTTTAGCACAACAACAAAGAATATTTTCACCGAAACTAATTCAGGGTAAGAATATGTTGTGAAAAATGATTTTGCAGGAAAACAAAATCTAATTTTGACTCATGGTAGCAACAAGCATCGCTTTATGGAAATTACATTGAACAGTCGGTTCATTTTAACATGTCAAAAGGATAAAAGGAAACTCACAAGTCACAATGCCCTTTTAACTTTTTAACAGTTACATTGCATGATATGATTGCTATTTACATTCAAAAATTACAAAAAAAAACTAACTCAAAATAAGACAGAAAGATGCTTCTCAACCAAAACAAACCCCCAATCAAGTATATTCAAGCATTTTTTCAGCACTTGTAAACTATACCAAAAACTAGCTTATGTGTTCTGTTAATTTTGGAAAAAGGGTGCTTAGGTGGTAACAACCTTAGGGCATTTCATTAATACACAGAATCACAGATAAATGCTAGAGCAAATGTTGTTCGGAGGAATAGAGTAAAATCACCTTAGCATTTCTGCATCAGTTCTGGGATCAATTTTTTCTATTTCTGCACTAATTAAATTTTTTAGTCTTTGAGAGTATGCAGTGATGGCACGAAGAAATTGAGGAGGGTTTTTTAGGCAACATCTAATGGCATCCTTAACCTCATCAGGTACATCCACATCAATACCCAAATTTGCAACCTCAAGGTGAGGACTGGAGTGGATTCCATTTCCTTCATAAGCTGGAAAAGAGATGCGGATCTTTTCTGCCATATGCACTGCCAGAGACTCACAAGCTTTCCGAATATTTCTTTCCCATGCTGTTTCAATAAGAATTACACCATCTGCTGCTTTTTTCCCTTTATCTGTTGAGTTAGCAGATTCTTTTTCGTAGCTATGCTGAAAAGTAGATACCATCTCGTCCGATGAATTGACATTTGACCTCTGAGAATCCTTTGCTTGATTAACATAGTCAAGGAGACGCTTGTGGTACTCTGCAAAAATCTTTGCTGCTTCATTGCATTGTTGATCATAAGCTTCAAGCATCACCTGTTTGTGTCTGCACATCAGGTATCGATATCTATGTCCATTACCCTTAAGATATCCACCTTTTGATCTACTTAATTTGATGCAAAACCAAAACACAGATATATTGTGGAATCAACCTATAAAATGTGCAAAACAAAGAACAAAACTTCAGAAATGCATCAACCACAAGACAGATGATTGGTTTTCATGACAGACCTGTAATTGCACCTTTCATCAATCACTCGCTTGCGTTCAGTCTCCTCTCTTGAGACCTCCAGCATCCGGGCTTTCAACTCCTTCCTCTGCTGCCCCACCGCTTGCCTAAGCCTTTCTACCTCCTTCTGGGCCAAATATCTTTCCTGCAAAGCAATCTCTTTACTATTCTCAGCAGAAGCTAATCCCAAACTTGAACTCTCCTTCCCTATCCCGGACCTCTCCTTTCTCCTCCCTCTACTCTTCTCCACCACCTTCTTGGAATCACCATTAGCGCTACTACTAGCACTGACAGATCCATCGTCTCCACCATGAACCAGAATATTCCGGCGAATATTCTCAACCGTCTTCTCGGATTTCACCCTCGTCAACAGAAAGTTCCACACTGGGATCATATTCCCGCGGCATATCTTCCTCAGAGAATCCGCCGTCGGCATAGCCGTCGATTTCGCGGTCGCATTGTATGGCCCTAAAGGCCGATATCCCATCTCCTTCTGAAGCCACTCCAAGATTGCCTCCGGTTGGGCCGCCGCCGAGCTAGTGGAACTCTGCATCGACACTCTACTTCTCAAAACCTGGGTTTTTACCCTTCAAAGTGTTCCAAATCACTCAATGCCCTAGATCCTGAACCGATTCGTTGAACTGCAGAAACTGGATGGGTATGGAGTGAAGGAGAAGCAGATACGAAATGTGGATCGGGTCTGGCCGGCTAACAATTGAAAATTTGAAATACTACAGTATGAGCTAACCTATGACCGGACATTAAGATTGCCCTAAGATTTTTGAAGCCAATCCTTTTCTAGTTCAAATCACATCCTCGAGTGTTTATATTCCAAAAATAAAACAAAAATAAAAATGCCTATGAATCACAAAAGAGCAGTGCTAGAGATACATTTTAGTGTACTCCAAATGTACACCACCCCTTCTCCACCACTTATTTTTATTTTATTTTTATTTATTTAGTTTTTGAACTTTTTGCTTTTTTTGTAGACAAGGAAGAAATGAGGGACAAATAAGGTACACATTTAATGTACCCCTAGCTCATACATTAAGATTTTTGAAGCCAATCCTTTTCTAGTTCAAATCACATCCTCGAGTGTTTATATTCCAAAAATAAAACAAAAATAAAAATGCCTATGAATCACAAAAGTGCAGTGCTAAGGATACTCCAAATTACACTACCTCTTCTCCACTATTTATTTTTATTTTATTTTTATTTTATTTTTTTTGATTTTTTTGCATTTTTTTGTAGACAAGGAGAGGGTGAGAGACAAATGGAGTACACATTTGGTGTACCCCTAGCATTTTTTTCATCACAAAAATAGCGACACTGAAAAAATTTAAAAAAAGAAATTATTTTTAAATTTTATTCATGAACATAACAACATGTCATTTTTAAATTAAAGTCATTGTTTGAAGAGTAAAAAAAGGATAAAGAAAATGAGAATAATTATAAAATACTCCGTATGAAAGAAATTGAAAGGGCATGAAGATATTAGAAAATTTGAAAAACACTAAAAAAAAATTAGAAAAAAACTTTTAAAAAAATTCAAACAGACTAGGAATTAAAATTTTAAGTTTTAAAGAACTTAAACTTAAAATTTCAAGTTTTAAAAACTAGGAATTGGGAAAAAACAAAAATTAAAGAGTTGGACTTTTAGAAAAATAGAAAAAACTCACTTACAAATGGATAAAAATCATTTCTATCTTCTCTAAGCTGACCTGAATTAATTTATAAGCGCCAAATCCCCCTGCCATTCTGTTCATCGGCTCGTCAACAAAACCAACTAATTTATTCATTTCATTTTCCCTTCAGGAATCCAACAATAGTTACATCGATCTCCTTCTATCTTTATCTGCCAGAATTTGATCGAAATCTGTCAAGGTTGATTTTGGGTTTCGGCGAATTGAAGAATGGACATTGACCAAATATTCGGAGAGTCCAGGGCGGTATGTCCTCCGACAAAGAGCGCGATCTACGTGTGGGGCTACAACAGCTCCGGCCAGACGGGCCGGAAGGGAAAAGATGCGAGCTTGCGGATCCCAAGGTGCCTGCCTCCTGGCCTATTCGGGTGCCCGGCTGCCGGAGGAAACTCACGGTGGCTGGACATCGCTTGTGGCCGCGAGCACACGGCGGCCGTCGCCTCGGACGGCACTCTCTTTACGTGGGGTTTGAATCTTCCCTCCATTTCTTTAACATTCATTGTTTCGTCAATTTTCTGATTTTTATTTAATACCGTAGCTAGGTTGGAATTTGGAAATCCTTTCCGTGATGTAATTAGAGACCTTCTATTGCTCTTAAAGCTTGTTCCTTTAATTGAAATCCTTATATAATTTGATCTTAAATGACTTTTTTTTTTAATTTTTTGAAAAAAAAAAGAGATTGAAATTCGCCATAAAAAATGTGGAAAATGTTAGTTGGATGGGGAAAAGAGAGGAGATAGCTTTCCCCCCAAATATTTTTACAGCACCCAAAGATTTACATTTATCATTGTTATTATTCCAAGCAGGAACTAATGAATTTGGACAGTTGGGCGATGGAACTGAAAGTAGCAGGAAACACCCAGGCAAAGTGAAGCAATTGCAATCTGAATTTGTGTTGTCTGTTTCATGTGGAGCACACTGCACAGCTGCCATTGCAGAGCCCCGTGAGAACGATGGATCGAAGTCAACTAGGAGACTCTGGGTTTGGGGACAAAACCAGGTCTTGCTTGTAGTTGTAGATCTTTGAGTCATCCCTTCATTTGTTTCTCTCATACTAACTAAATCTTGTATTTTTTTCTTTCCAGGGCTCCAATTACCCACGTCTGTTTTGGGGCGCCTTTGCTCCTGATGTGGTATAGCTTCTCC